ACTCCATAAGCTGCTTTGACCAACTGTTTACCCAAGATATCAAAAGGCTGAAAACAGTACTAGGAATAAAAAAGAGAGAAAAGGGACTTGATTGTCTGTCTAATATTTTTTGAAAGCCTTAGTATAGAGAGCTGCCGTTTAGCCAAAGGTTTCTGTCACCAGTCCAGAAGGAACACAGATCATGGTCAATCAGCCGTGGCTGAACTTTAATCATTTTCAATCATTCTAATTGCTTAAAGTACCCTGATTAACCAAAGTAAGACTGCATCTAAGTATTTCTTATACACCTACAGCAGAGCATCTTGCTGTCCTCAAACCTGAAATTATGGAAGGCCAATCCAACCATGAAGAAGTTCCTACTTCAGATAAAAAGGCTGTCTCTTTCATCTTAATACATTTCAAAGGGGAGTATGACTGTACTACCACAAAATGAAGCTACTACATCACTTGTTGGAAGCATTCCCTTATGAAGCTTTCCCAGCGATAGTGGAGGGGTGGCGTTACAATCATTGCTCTGTTTCCCCCTGCATACTCCTTCCTCATCAAGGCGGTTCCCAGACATTATGTGATTCACAGACTGGATCCTGGAGCTGGTTCTCCACTCCAAATTTAACAGAATAGTCCACTAACATCTAGTTGTCATGCAGGCACATTCAAGGCAAGTGAGCTCCCACCCGCAGTCTGAATTAGTGCAGCCTGGATTCAAATTTATCACCTCAGGAGAATGAGGCCATGACTCTAATTTCTATTCCAAGAGCTGTGGAAAATCAAGAAGTCCCTTAAACCGCCACCTGGTTTAGCCACCACTGTAATTATTCACTACTGATGATGTAATGAGTGATCAGGACAAGACGTGGGCCTTGAACAGAGCGAGTTTTATGAGCACTTTCTTAAACGAGAAGATTAGCACTGTAAGCAGCGTGCTCCATTTTTGAAGTTGTAATTATTTGGAAGCAAGAAGGCAGCAGGCCAAATAGGAAAACGTAGAAGGGCAGAGCAACAAGCTTGCCTGAAGGCAGGTCAGAAAGATCATAGCAATCTACCCAAAGCAGACAAAGCCCCACCTGCAAGTTTTAGGATGGAAGGAACTCAAACACTTGGTTACATTACTAGTAGCTTACATAGTCTGTCAGTAGGTTCAGCAGTGATCAATCTTTCTTTGGCTGCCTGCCACCGAACAAAGGTTAATCTTACACCTAAACAATTTAGGTTTAAACACACAAGGAGGTTTACCTTCTGGTTTATTCTGAAGGCCAACAGACATGATTGGCAAGAATGACACACTGAGAATACTTCCCAAGCACCTACTAATATCCAAAAAAAACTATGTGACTTGGCGCCAGGTTTACCTTAGAACCACTGCTCATCCTGACTGCCATAATAAGCAAGTCTTTAAAAAATAAATATTGGCCTAACAGTCATAAGCTTTATGGCAAATTCCTAGAAAGGTCTACATCAGGTTTAGACTGAGTACCAGCTTAGCTTTTCCAAAGGCTAACTATAAAGAAGCCAGCTGTTAAAAAATTTAAACAAGAAATCACTGCGCAGGTAACTGACCACACTGCAGTTGGCAGAGAGACTGGTCCACCATCCCCCAGTCGTAACTGAAACACACAGTCTCAAGCTACAGGCGCTATTCTATTTGTGTTTGTGGCAGATGGAAGACCGACATTACTAATGGTTGATGACAACAAAGCTTTTCCCCCGTCTGCTTTTGTGCTGGAAACAATGGCTTGGATCCTGAAATCTCATGAAAGGAAGTCCTTTCATGGGACACTCCACACGGACATTTTTTCCAATTTCCCATTTCACCTGCAGACCCTAGGAAATCAGCTCTGGGGAGTTAGGGTTTCCTCTAGAACACTGGGGGGTAGCTGGGAACCCACTCCCCCACCAGGAGAACCCCACATTTTATTAAAAACCTCCCACAAATGAAAGGAAACCTTCCATTCACAGAAAGGCAACTAAGAATTCAAGTCTCTGTATATGTATTGTGACAGTCGAAACCGACTTACATGGTATTTATTCCATGACCATGTCTGATATGGCAGTATTTTATTTATGAAATGCTCTCCCATGCTCATCAGTTATAACTAAAGCAGTGCTTATTAACCAAAAATCAAGTAAATGTAATTGGTGCTATACCATCACTAATTATTGCATGCAGTAGGGAACTGCTCTTTCTAGCTCTATAAAGGATGTCCCAAGCTTTAAACTGCATTCACTGCCCGTTTCGCATTTTGCTGTAAAGGCAAAGGAGACGCAAAGTGGGAAGAAACAGTCCACATAAGCAGACTGTAGGGGCAGAGTTATCTGCACACAGAGTTTGTATACCGATAGTTGCATACAGAGTTTGGATGCTGTGAGAAACAATCCAGGGACTGAGTGTTGCTGACCACAGCTGGAGAAAGCAGGCAGTGAGATTGAATGCATGTTCAACTCATTTTCTCAACAACCCATGGTTTGTTAACTGTGTGTACAGAACCCTCTTGAAGTAGATGAGTAGAGAGTCAGAGATAAGAAAGTACGGAGTGCAGCTGCCAGTAAGAGTTCCTTCATTGTCTTTCAAAAGGAATAGAATAGGGGCTCAGGAACAGCAAATTAGTCTGTATTCTGAAACATCTATTTACAAAGCTGAGTTTATGAAACCCAGCATTAAATAACAGGGAAATTCTGTCAAAATTCTACAACTAAGGAAGTGATTATTTAAGTTAAAATAGCAACCCAGATAATTGTTCGAGTGAAGCTACTGCAGTGCTTACTTTGTTAAAGTTTTGAGAATTATGAAAAAAGACAGATTTCCAATAGTCCTTCCTCCCTCTCTCCCTCACGGATAAAGCACTCACTAACATTACAGCTTGCTGAAAAGTTTCCTCATCACTGCATTTTTCAGTAAAGAGAGAGAGAGAGAGAGAGAGAGAGAGAGAGAGAGAGAGAGAGAGAGAGAGAGAGATGTTGTCAGATATGACAACTTCTGTGTCCCCTGATGATGCCTTGCTAAGCATTTGGTTATAAGCCATAAAGCAGGAATAATTTCAGCCTGTCAGGAGTCTAGCTAATGCCCAGTTTCCCCCTAGAGAGAATTCCTGTCAAACGTAATGAGAACTCTGAAGGCCCTCTCTACAACATAATGAGCACTTAGGCCAGGCTGGTGATCAGCCAGCAAAAAGCATCAGTTTGAGCCTGGCTACACCCTAGGGGCTACACTTCACCAGTTTTAATAAGAATTATGATTACTCTCTACCAAATGCCTAAGAACATACTGTCCATGCTTAAAATCAGGAAGCTTTCCCTCCCCTTTTTATTTTTTTAAGTCTAGATGATCTAGACAGAATTAGGAAATAAAACTTCTCATTTTCAGAACATATTGCTCAGGAGGAGAGAGGATATACTTAAGTTTATGCAAATAGAAGCAATGTGACTATACTGTCAAGGTTTATCTACTGTTGTATACAACATAGCAGACTCCTACTAGGAAGTTCATGCTGCACAGTCAATGCCACAACCACACTACCTATAATATATACTAAAATAGAATAACTAACCAGTGTAATAAACACACACATTATGGTTAAAACAGAGATCTCATTTCCAGGGCCCTTAAAATGTTGTGGGTTAAATCTTTAAAGACAAACCCAGTTTTCTATTCCTTGCTTCAGACTACATATTTTCTCCAGCTATGCAGAACAGTTTTTAATGTCACTCCAACTATTAGACAAAAATATGACCAATTAAGGCCAGCAAACCCAGGACCTAAAGCTGCTGCATTTAGACCTGTTTATTTTTTTAATGCAAACAAATAGTTTATACATTGTGTTCTTCTAATAAGAACTTTAGTATTTCTGTCAATGTAACACTAATAATTTCAGGAAAGAAAACAGGAGAGGAAAAAATAAGAAACACTGGAAGTTGACACATTTCTATGACTTTGAATGTAAACAGGCACTGCCAAATTCACTGTCTACAGCTCAAGCACATCTACCTTGGCCCCATCTCATGATAACTTTGAATTATCAAATATAAACTTAATTCTGATTAATTCTTCAATAAAAGTAAAATAAAAATAAAGAGTTCAGATTTACAAAAGCAGAAATCTGGTGTTGAACACACTTGCTTAATGGAAGCCTTTGAATATACTGAAGATGTGAAGCCTGAACTAATCAATTTCTTCGCCGTGCCCTAGCCGGTCAGCCATGCTCTTTAATTTAATGAAACAAGAGTTTTAGATGAAATAGCACATATACATCAAGAAAGAATTGTATTGTTGCACTTTGAAATGTGTCCAACTGTGCAACTTCATCTAATGATAATTTTTTTAAGAGGCCATCGATTTCTGAAAGACTTATTGTACCAGCATCTTGATGAAAAAGTGGACGTCAGCATATCTACAGAATACTTACACCCTGCCATTAATGCTTTCTTTGGCAGACAATAACTACTCAATTGAAGGTCCTTTGGGCTGAGCAATCATTTAGCTTTTCTTCTCTTATGAGGTCCTTAGTGCCTTGTTCCAGTTCAATACTCTTTTTATTCACCATTATAGTAGCCATAAGTGTGAATTTTATGGGAACTTGCAAACTCAGTCCTAAGGAGAGCTTTCCAAGTCACTAATCTTTTCATGCTTTTAAATTGCTAGGATCTGAGGAACCATCAACATATGCTGTATGGACATCAAAGACTGGTTAGGCAAAGCCAAGGTTGTGCCAACATGGAATTTCCTTCTAGAAATCCATTTCCTTGAAAGCATTTAACTTTAAGTGCCTTTGAAGCACTGTTGAAGAACGGGACACACAACAGCAATGATAATTGTTTCTTATTTCGCCCAGGACTTATATAGAGAACAAGACGTTTAAGAGAAAAGTTGTGAATTTTCCCTACCCCATTCCCCACCCTTGCCCTCACAGTGTATCTGTTGTGAACAGTTTTAGATAAGTTGTGAGTATCTTGCATTTGAAAAATAGAAATTTTGTTATTGTATGAATTTTGTATCAACTTCTTACCTGTTTGTGCATTTCAATATTTAACCCATACGACATTTCATAGTACTGCAAATAGAAGAGAAAGGTATGTTAGAAACAAGAGCAAACTAGCAATGTTGTCATGCATACAGGGCAGTGGGTGTCTGGTCTGTTCTTCCAAAGGGCAGAATTAAACCAATGGGTGAATATTTGAGGGAAACACATTTTAGCTAAACATTAGGAGAATCCTCTTAACAGCTGTTCAACAGTGGAACAGACTGGTTTGGAAGATGGTGGACTCTCTTCAATGGGAAGTATTCAAGCAGAGGCTGGACAGTCCTCTGCCAGGGACGCTGTAATTATAGCCTTCTTTGAGCAGAGGGTTGGACTAGATGATTTCCAAAATCTCTCCAATTTTATGCTTTAAAAAAAAGGCAGCCAAAGTTGTATTTACCATCACGTAGTGCCTTTGCATTTCTGTCTTTTCACTTGCCAGCTTCTCACATTCCAATTTAAGGCTAGGTAGAAGGGGGAAAAAAACAACAGGTATTCTTAGGTGTGTTAGTTCAAGCATTTACTTCTATTTGCATTTTGAAAAGAAACTAGTTTGGGAAAGTGTCACAGGATATTACAGTGTAAATATAGAGAAGCTTTAGCATAGTGCTTTAATATAGAAGACCATGCTCAAATATGCAGAGTACATAATATATATTCAGATCAAAGTACACACACATACCTATTCAGATGGTATATAGAAACCATGCATATAATGGGAAATCACGGTTGTTAGGGATGGAAGTAAAGACCAATTCCAGCTTTCTTGACAGTATAAAATACAGGAAAGTAGCCCCTCCACCACAAAGATAAAACACTAGAGTTAAGAATAATTGCAACTGTACTCTTCTTTACATGTTCTTTCTAAGCAATTACTTTAAAATAGCAAGGAAGCTCTTAAATTATATACTATTTCAGGACAGGAAGTACATTTCTACCTACTATCAGATTATAAAGTTGCTTTTAAAAAACACACACTGACCAAGGAACAAACTTATTTGAACTTGTACCATAGAGTAGTACCCAATGATAGTAATTACTTTTCCTTACCAAAGTTAACCTCATTAAAAAAGCAAAAGCAAATATAATTTTTGCCCCATAATATGGACTATGGTGCAATTGTAGTGATGCCTCTGAAATATAAATCAAATATATGCTTGAGTAACTCACAGTGGCTTAAATTTATGCTAGAAATCTATGCTTTTTAGTTGAAAGTAAAGCTGAAAACATTTACAATTTTATGCACACTGACTTAGGAGTGAGTCCCCTTGAATACAGTGAGACTCACTGCTAAGTAAATATGTACATCTGAAGTCTTGTATGCATGACCCACTGAACACAGTAAGATTTACTTGGAAGTAAGCATGCACTTCCGATCAAGCTGCTTCAAACTCATTTGTGCTGAATTACAATCTACTCCCAAGAACGCCTACAATTGTGATTACAACTAAAGTGTATTAGCTCAGAATAGAATCCTGAAGGCCATCAAAACCAATCCTACTTGTGTTTTGCTGCTAGGATTGAAGGGTATTTATAGCTGAACATTGTAATACCTGACCACACCATCTTAAAACTTTGTTGTTGGAATGCTACTCCTTTGAATGGGCTTGGCATTTTGAGTTAAACTATAAAACTATAAAAAACTTGATTTTGATTGTGTGTGTTTTGCTGTAAAATAAGATAACACACTAACAGTTGGACCCTAAAATAGGTTTACTTTGAAGTGTGCAACTAATTTTTAGGGTGTGCTCAGTTATCAATCTACTCCCCACTTTTTATGTATGCAAATACTGCATTTTCCCAATTAGTTACAGTTCTGTGCATATTTACTGGGAGCAGGTTTCATCTCACTGAATTTAATGGGCATTACTTCTGAGTTAACATGCACAGAATCAAATGGTTTGTGGGCAAGCTAAGCATTCAGAAACCATTTTGTCAGGAGCCAGAAAAATGCATCCTTTACTTGGCGTGATGGCAAGTTTCCAGTATCCTAAAACCTCTTTTTCAGAGCAAACATTTAAAAGTTTTCCCCAATCATTTCATAGTGGAATGCTGGAATACGAGGACAGGAACACCAAATGCCTGACCAAATGTCAACTCAAACGCTTTCAAAAGTGTCCAGAGCAAATATTGACAGTTCCTGCAAAGTTCTGAAAGCACATTCTGGGGAAAGAGGAGGAAAAAAGAGAAAGGAGTTTACCTGAACTGTGGCAACTCACACAAATAAAACAATGGTCGGGGCTCCCCCACCCCTTCAGTGAGTGACAGGCCTTAAACTGACTCCACACGCCACCACCTGGGCACAAATACTAAGTACATTTTGCAAAAAGCACCACACACCCCATGGAACAAGCATGCTTCAGAGTGACCTGAAATCCCAAACAGAGAAGAGACTTCCTGACACAGCACAGAAAGCATCCATCCATAAACCGACCTGGCTACACCCACCTGTGATACTGAGCTTGGAGAAACTGGAACTCCTCTTTGATTCGGTCTAGAGACTCCGGGATGGTGAACTTAAAGGGTTGTCCTGCAGCCTGGTGCGGTGTCTGGAGTTGGGTGAAGAGAAAGCAAAGCAAGTGGAGCGGTCAGGAAACTGCTCAGATCAGAGAAGTCCTCTCCGTGCGTCCTCATCTCTTTGGCCAACTCACCAAGAGGAGCACCCAGGCGCTGAGGGCACAGGACTGCCGCCCGGCCTGGCCAAGGGCACGTGGGCACACGGGAAGGCAGCACCGGCACGAAACCTCCTCCTGGAGTCCCGCACGGACTCCCACCAGCCGCCACATGCCTGGTCGCCTCTTCTCGCGCGCGCTTTCTTTTAAAGCCCCTTCCGAACAGCGAGCGGGGAGTGCTCAGGCCGGGGACGAGGCTCGCTTCCGAGCGCGTCAACTGCACCCCCAGGCCTGGGGGAGGGGCAGCATCCCTCCCCCCGCCCTGGGTTTATTTTACCCCCGGGCTAGAAAGCGGAGAGGAACAACGGCGGCCAACCCCTCCCCGCCATTATAGGCTGGTAGACAAACAAGCCCAAGTGTAAACAAAGGAGTAGACTCTGCCCAACGGGAGGTGGGCCAAGGGAAGCGAAAGGAAGCTTTTCAAGCGTTCCCAGCGAGGGGAGCCGCGAATGCAAGAAGTTTCCCAGGCCTTGGCGGGGGGCAGAGGGCGCCTACACCCAATTTCAAAGGATCTTTCTCGGCAGCCAGGAGTTCGCACAAGGCCGCAGAAGCAGCCGGTCCGCCGCCTCCTACCAAACCAGATCGCGCACCGTCTGCCCGTGCAAAAGCGGGCTTCTCGGCCCGCAGGTGGCGGGGGGGGGGGGGCGACCAAGGATCGGGACCAAGGAAGGAGAGCGCCACTTACGGGATGCCGACTCTGAGGAAACATGGCTGTGGCTGCTCGGCTCCTTCGCAGCTCAATTCTCGACCCGAACCCTGAATCTGGCAGAGCCCGAGCAAACAAAACACGAGGCAGGCGGCCGGCAAGGGAGGCGCGAGGGGCACGCTATTTCGCCTCTCGGCTCAGCCGCAGGATCATCCTCCAGCCCGCGCCGCCTTCCTGCAGCCCGAGCTCAGCCGCTTCCTTTGTTGTTAGCTTTCCGGGGGGGGGGGGGGACGCTGGCCAGGCAAGAGGGGCTCACGAGATGTCCGGGTTGGGATGGATCCTTCTTTGCCGATGTCAGCGCTGCTGCTCCTTTGGCTTTTTTTTTTCTTTCCGCCTTTTTTGTTTTTGCAGTTAAAAAAAGAATCTCCCCTTCCCCGGTCGGGATAGAACTTGCAAGATGCACTTGTAACACCACAGAGCCCGAGCAGAGGCGGAGGTTCTTTTTAAGAACTCGATCCGAGGGGGAAATCCAACTAAGTCAAGTGCCCGGTCCGACTGAGGGTTTCAATTGCCGCCGTGAAGGAGTCCCAGTACAAAAGGCCGCGCTCTTGCCGGCGCCGGGAGAAAGATTCAAGGCCAGGTCACGCACGGGACACGGGGAAGGAATCGGGGGAATGGGGCGGAGCAGGGGGCAGTTGAACCGTGCGGGCAAAGCAGCCCGACTTCGGCAAGAGGGAAATCCACCCTCTCCTCGCTGGGAGAACTGCGAAGGAAAAGCCGCCGCCGCCGCCGCCAGCCCACCCAAACCCACGCAGCACCGCAGACGGGGCAAAAATCAAGGGACGACTCTCTCTTGCAGAACGGCCCGCGCTGCCTCCACAGGCCCACCGCGCATCGGACAGGACAAGGTGATCGCAACACTCAGAGCCCCGATGGGAGAACGCGCCCTCGGAACGGCAGCATTGCAGGCCGTCTACTCGCGGCCTCTTCTCTCCCCTCCGCCGTCTGTCTTTCTGTCTGTCTTGCTCAATCCCGGGCCAAAGTTCTTTCCAGGATCCCTCGAGGACACATCCAGGCGGCGGCTGGGGAGGCGGCGATCTCCTCTCCGGCCCCCTCCCCAAATAATCACCAGGGTCTTTCTTCCATGGAGACCCGACCAGCGTGTTATAAGGAAACTCCACGGGACACGCACGCACACACGCACACGCACACACCCAAGCGCGGCGGCGGCGGGATCTCAATAAACGGGACACAATGTATCCGCCCGCGCTGGTTACATTAACACGCGGTTTCACACTCCTCGAGCTAACCAGCCTCTTAGCCACTCCCCGAGACTTGGGGAAGAGGGGCATCCGACCAATCACCTGCGTAGGGACCAACGTGGGGCCGTGACATCTCACCAATGGGAGACGATCCTGGTAGACTTCCCCTCCCCTTTTCATTCCCTCACCCCGCCTTTGCTAGGCAGCCTTCCTCGCTGAGCTGCAGGACCCCTCCGAGCGAGCCAATGGGAGGCGGCGGAACACTCAGACAGGCAGGGAGAATGGGAAGGTCGGGGAGAAGGAGAGTGGAGAGGCTGAGCTGTCAATCAAAGTAACGTGGGGTTGAGAGCGAGCGAGCGAGAGAGAGAGAGGACTGTACTAGGCTTTCTCTTTCCCTCCCTCCCTCCCTCCCTCCCTTATTATTATTATTCCCTTACCTTGCCCCGCTCTCTCCAGAAATCTGTGAAAATAACATAGGGAGATAAATAATGCATCCCCGGTACAGGACAGGCAGCAGCGAAAGTCAGATGGATGCTGCCCTGTTTAAGCTAATGGAGGAACGAGGACCCGTGATGTTGCCTTGGAGGATGGTGTGTTCATAGCGATGTGTATCAAAGTTTCCTCAGAACAACTCCTCTCCAGGGCTTCAGAAAATGTAGCCTCGGCTCACAACAGTTTTCTCTTTAATTTGTCAGAAGGACGAGCGTGTGAACTGAAGTGCTAATGTGACCATAAAGAGCAATGAGCCACTTTTTGTAGCCTTCCTTACTCTTCGAGATATGTCGCTGCCGCCGAGGAGACCCTTGCCCCGGTTTCTTCGCCGGGCCGCCTGCTTTTTCAGACTTCTCTATTAGGCAATTAGAGAATAAATCTCCATTCCGCGTCAGCTCCGTGGTGCAGCACAGGGATGCCCCACTTTGAGAATCCCACAGGCAGGCAGATCCCAAGCCTTATTTGCAGAGCAAAATTAAATAATGAATAAATAAATCTGTTCAAGGAGACCCTTTCTGGTAGGGTAAGTTCGAAAAACTCCACTTGGTTTAATATATCAGAAAGTTAAAAAAAAAAAAGAGCTGTAAGGGATTAGAGATGGCCCTTTTCACATGATTTCTGTCCACAGCGTTCTAGAGAACTATGACAGAATGCCTTTCTTTTCAGCAAGCCTGCTCAGTGTGCATATTTTAAAATGCAACTGGATGGCTCCATTCTTCAGTCCAAGAACTGTGCAAGGCACCATGCTCAGATTGAAGTTGATTTGACCCTGTTGATGTGCCATTTATGGAAACTGCCCTTAGCAATGAATTGCACTTAACTTTAGATTTTTAAAAAAGTTGTCTTTCGTAGGAAGAAAACTTATTTCTTACATTTATAGCTCGCCTTTTTTTTTCTCCCAGCAAGGAAACCAAGTCACACTGCATTGCACTGAGTTAGATTCTGCTGACAGTGAGCGAGTGACCAGTCAAATCACCCTGTGAGCTTCATGCCTGAATGGAAACTAGAACTCGGGCCACCAGAATACCAGTCCAGCATTTGAGACACTGCACTGGCTCTCAATGGGAACTGCTGACGAGATGTGTTACCTAGAACATCCATTAACATAAGTGGTAAAATTCACATCATCCCACTATGAAGTTATTCCACTGAATACCAGTGCAATAAAATCTATACAATTCCAGAAGCAAGCCCTGCTATGCATGGTGAGATTTATTCCCTGATAGGTGAGTATAGGATTGCAGACTATCAAGTTGACTATGATTCATTGTTATCTGTATGTAACATTTATTTAGTGCACAAAAAAAGACACTTTTCTTCCCTAGAGGACTTACAACCTAATAATATCTTTCTTACTGATTTTGTGACTGTTGCAATGTCCAATAGTTATATTTTTTAAAACTCGCTCTTCACCAAAGCAGTATTTTTCACACTTTCATTTAGCCCACAATTGATAAGTAGGAGAACTTGTTAAACAGGTATTGTGTGGTGTGGTTTAATGCAACATGAGCGATGGTGGCAAGGTGACACTGTACTTGACACAGGAGAGGAGAGCAGAATCACTCACTCGTGGGCCTAATCTAGCTCACCAAACAACAGGAAGATGTGGGTGCTGAGGGGACGGGCTGCTCCTCCCAGCACTGGCAGGACAGCTTTGCATGGCAGACAGCAGGTGCGAGGCCTGAACAAAGCCAGGGGCTTCACCAATGCCTGGAAGGGCAGCAGCTCCTCCAGGTGTCAGTGAAGAAGTGTAATGCGGCAAAGGGCATCCACAGGCATTCCAAGGACGGCACAGAAACAGGAACTTGGCCGGCATCTGGAGCTCCTTCTGGTGTGCACCAAATCTTCTTCCCCATAATGGGAATGGCATGAAATTTGGTGCCTCTTCCAGCAAGGAGAGAAATAAAAATGCATGGGGTGAAGGGAGGTTGCACTAAGTCATGCTGTTCTGGAATGCTTTATCATGGAAAACTCACCTGGCAAACAACTATGAGATGCCAGGTAATTTTTTCTGTTCTGTCCAGTATTGTCAGAATTTTAGTAATGAAGACCTTCTATGTTAGTTCCTGCAATGTGGTTTTAACTTATGAACCTCACTGGGATTTTAATTTTGTTTCCGTATTACATTTTATGCTGCATCAGGATTTCTATTTTTTATGTTGTGATTTTATTTTATCTTATTTTATTGTTAATAACTTAAAATTATATTGTACATTGCCTAGAGAAATCTGCCTTAGGAGCCCTTTAATACTTTGAAATCAGTTTTACAAAGGCTTGCAGTATAAGTGTCAACTGAGCAGGCCAGTTGTACATTAAGGTTCCTCCATATTTGGCATAGTAGAACTTGCTTCTGGGATTGCATAGACAGACTGTCTGCAGAGACAGACTTAAAAGAGGTCCATCCACTGGGGCACATCTAGCTAGATCTTCTAAGCAAGTAGCACTGTAAAATGAACTGCACAAAGGTCCTGACTAGGTTATTTACCTAAGCACATTATTAGTTCCTCAGACAGGTTACATGTGATTTCTGAGTACAACTGAGGGCCCAAAACTCTGGGCAGTATGAATTCTAGCTTTTCCAGAGTCTGGCACAAGTTCACTGTTAGCAACTTGTTGTTATTATGCCAGCCAAGTCTTCTACCCTTTGTTGAGGTATGTGGTCCATTTTTCCTTCTGGTGACAGATGCGTGTGCTTCTTGAACATGTTGTGGAGGGCTCTGATGATTAGAGGGAGGACTGGGGATGGCTTTGGGTGACACAGAGGCTGAGACCCAGAGGGAGGCAAAAGGCCCTGGTGAGCCTCTGAAACATGAGGTGCAGTAGCTGAAACCCCTGCCTGCATATTTTACAATAGATGTATTTACTGTGCCACACAAGTGATACAAAGCTGAGTTAATTCATTTTTAAACCTGCTACGGCTTAGATCAGTGATTTTCAAGTTGCATTGTGGGTTCCTAAGAAGCTTATCTTGGGTTTCAGAGTGACAAGCTTCTTTGAAAGACAGCTTGCCATCAACCACTACTGCGCTTCCTCTGCAGGGTGCAGCTGCAGAGGAATGTTGGGTTTCTTTCAGGGTGCGTGCACTTTCGGTTCACACAGGGAACTGATGAGATCAACAGACCTTGCCAGCACTTGCTGCCAAGACCTGCTGGGCATTGTAGGCCAACAACATCTGGAGATACATATATCCCCCATCCCAGGACCATGTCATGTTCCATAACGTGCTACCGGCAGAAGACAAGTCAACGTGGAAGGTCTGAAAACCACAGCCCCAATAGTGAAGAGTGTTCTACTGACCTGCAGAGTGTTCCATCAATTATGGGAACTTAATAAATACTCAGCTGCAAGCCAGGCTAGTCCCCAGTGTAACAGATAGCTCATACATATCATTATCTTGAGATTCCTGATCATATACAATGGGCTCATTCACCTAGGATCACTTCTAAGGAAACATGTATAGGCTTCTGCTCTAGTGTGGGTATGTATGATGTAGGTATGAATTAAGAACCAGCATTCATGAAAAGAAGGGATGGAGAACCCCCAGCCCTCACACGTTACCCAGCCCCCCATGTAGCCCGAGAAACATCGGAAATGGTGGGGCACTGCTGAGCTTTGGAGTCAGGGAGCCATGCTGAAACGAGTTGGAGACCTCTTGATACCCTTCCCAATGGGGGCTGTGAGCTGAGTGTCTGGGGTCAGACTGCATGGACCTCCAGCCCAGTTACCTGTATGAGCTATAGCAGTGAGTTCAGGGTCCTTATAGCATTCCTGCCCCAAGAAAACCCTGGTTTCCTCCATGTCTGTAATTAAGTAACAGTTATTTAATACTAACACCAGTGGCTGCTTCTTCCCTGTTCAATGCAACAGGAAAACATGTTTCTACCAGTTCATTCAGAATAAATAATTCCATTTTAGGGATTAATATTCAAGTTTTCTAAAAGCCCATTTTCCCCATTATGTGCTGCATTAACTGTATTCATAGTTAAAGAAAACAACATTTGAGACAAAAGGCAGTTTTATTGTTTCTCTTGAATGTCCTAATCTACATTCATTTATTTACATCTGTCTAAAAGCACTTGGTCCTTGATAAACATGATAGCAGTGATTAGTCTGGTCAGTTGTTTTACATTCCTACAGAATGATGGTTTAGACTGAAGTTAAAAGTTGCTACTTTCTTTATAAAAACATAAATAACACCTTATGATTTAGCAAGGTTTTAACTTGTTTGGGCTGCTTTTGTGGTGCCTGAAGGTACGCTAATGAAGAACATAATCTGAAACGTCACGGGGTTTAAGGTCATAACTTCCTCTTGATTCTCCTGCTATGATAATTATAGTGCACAACATTTTCATAGGTTATTTCAAAAAGCACAGACACACCAGCCTCTTCAGTCTTATGTGTGCAAAAAATGCAACAGCTATGGGGAGACAGCACCCAAGACCAAAGGGCCAGAAACCCTTCATATTATTTATACTTTCTCCTTTAATGTCCATGTTTTCCACCCTAAGAA